TCACCATGAACGTTGCTGATTTTCTCTGTACAGTACACCCCTGCAATTGATATTTGGAGCATAGGGTGCATATTTGCTGAAGTTCTCACTCGAAAACCATTATTTCCTGGGACGAATGTCAAGCACCAACTAGATCTGATAACAGATGTCCTTGGAACTCCATCATATGAAACCCTATCCCAGGTATGTGTACATTATCACCCATTCACTAGTGGACAAAGATTTCACTGTTTTCCTGTTTTTTGTTAGTACCATACTGGTAGTTTCTTTAAAATGAAGCATATATAGACTTGGCCACAGATAGAATTCTTGCTTTCTGTAAAATGCAATACAATGTGACAGAACTACTTCCCCAACCTGACTCACAAACGCACGACTTCTGTGTGGTTGGTTCTCTAAGTAAATTGTTTCCTACTCCCTCCGTTCTGAATTACTTGTCTTGGATTTGTCTAGATACAGAGGTATCTAGCACTAAAATGAGTCTAGATACATCTGTATCTAGACAAATTCAAGACAAGTAATTCGGAACGGAGGGAGTAGATAATAACCTGTTTGAGATTTTTGCTACTTCTAGCATATGCCATTGCACAGTAGTGCTCAAGCAATGAATTTCTTAACATGGCTATAACAACTGCAGATTCGTAATGAGAAGGCCAGGATATATTTGACTGGCATGAAGAGGAAACATCCTACCCCCTTTCCTAGTATGTTTTGTAACGCTGATCCTCAGGCTGTCCGTCTCCTAGAACGCTTACTCGCATTTGATCCTAAAGATCGACCTACTGCTGAAGAGGTATATTTTTGACAAAAAAGAGTTCTTGCTTTTATGATGACCGATTCCGAAATTGATGAGTACATAAATGTAATATTTTATATATGTATTCTAGGCTTTAGCTGATCCATATTTTGAAGGATTTCCTAATTTGGAACATGAGCCTTCACCACACCCCTTTTCAAAACTTGAGTTTGAATTTGAGAGATGGAAGCTAACAAAGGATGGTATAAGAGATCTGATATATCGAGAGGTAGAAAACCATCACTTCAGTGTATGTTTTAGGCTGACTATATCAGTCTAACTTAAAATTGGAATTTTCCTTTTCTTGAAAGCAAACAGATTTTGGAGTACCATCCACAGATGCTTCAGGATTATATCGGAGCTGGAGGACAGACTAGTTTTGTCTATCCAAGGTTAGGTTGTTTTGCCATCTGCTGCCAGCACACCAGCACCAGCGTAGATGCTTAGCATGCACATGAAATTGTATGCTTTGTATGCCCATGTCACATTTTGTTTTCACACAGAAATCGTTGGGACTTAGGAGGTCTAACCTAGTTTAATACCCCTTATCAGCGGTATAATCTTGCTCATAATCTAATACTACCACGTTGCAGTGGGGTTGATGGTATGAGACTGCAGTTTGTACATCTTGAGGAGAACCACCTCAGAGGAGAAAGAGGTACTCCACTGCGGAGGCGACATGCATCTTTGCCAAGGTACATGAGTCATTATTAACTTTCAGCAGTTTCAACTTATTGTAACTGCACAAATTCTGGTATGGTTCTGATTCCGCTTGCTTCTGCACTCTTCTTCATGTGTCAGGGAAAGAGTCTGTGCACCAAAAGGTAGCGATAATCAAGACTGTAACAATGAGAGAAGGAGGACAGCATCTTCTGCTGCCCAAACTACCATAAGATCACAACAAGAGGGGCTGACACATGCATATGTTTATCAAAATGGCACAAGCATTCCGAACTTCTGCTCTGGGTATTACTTGCAGAATGGTAGTACCAGTGCTTCCAGTTGTGTCATCGATGAGCATGAAGGCCTGGAGGTACTCCCGGCACCAATTACGATGACACTGCCTAAATTCCTCCCAGGATCTTATAATTATCAGTGCACAGTCACTCTTCTCGTGACGACTCGTGCTTATGCGAGAAACTGACCAATAGCCAATCTGTTTTCTGTACAGGAGAACGGCGTCTCCGAGGAGGAGAAGGTGGCCTATGAACTGTCACAATGTTTTGCCAGGATTTAGCCAGGATGCACTCCTAAGCAACCATGATCCCGACGCAGCTCCAAATTTCAGCACAATGGTTCCACCATGTAGTCTTATGGGTCCCGGCAGCAGAATAAACCCACCAGGGCGGAGGTGCTGCGAACTTCACAACAACCATTTGGATTATCCGAAAACATGTAATAAATCTGAGTTGAAAAATGTTGCGTTGATCTGCATCGGTATACATCCGGTGTAAATTGTGTGGGTACCGTACCGTAAGAGCCTAGACCCGAAGAACATCGTGTGTAATGTCGTAACAGAAATTGCAGACATTCAGTTTGTGAATTGGTCAACTGCTGGTGGGTTCAGTGGGAGCAGGTGAATGAATCTGTTGCACGCAGGGCAAGTTCCCGGGCCAGTGACGGACGAACAAGGGGCCCATGCTGAACCCAGTTAATCCACAGCATTTCTGCATATGTGTAGCTCTATCAAGTGCAGGATATGTAGAATCATCAGCACAGCAACAGCATAACTGCAAGAGAGGGACAGGCCCAGTCAGTCAAGCCGCAGCTTCCTAACTGAACAACCACTCCATCAAGTACTTTTTTTTGAACATCAAGTACTATTCTCTCCGTCCCAAAATAAGTTTTGTTGATTTAGTACAAAGTTAGTACAAAGTTTATACTAAATCAATGCTTATTTTGGGACGGAGGGAGTACATAACAGAAACATGCAAACAATGCATTTTGTTTCAGATATAAGTTGCCTGAAATCGAATGACCTGGAGGCGGGGACAAGTGGACTGGGCGTCGCCACAAGGGTGATGGAGGTAGGTCGCCGGCTGCCGGTGACGGGGAAGGCAGGGCAACTTACGTATAGCCAGTCCCATATTAATGCAGCTAGATGCAGATAACTACATACATATGATGAAAATGGCTCAAGTCTGGTTGGGTGTGTGCGGATATGGTCTTAGTTTTAGTTCGTAGTAGATCACTGATCTGATCTGATCGTTACGGGGTTTTTCTTTTTCTTTTTCCTCACCAACGCATAACTTTTGGTTTATGACTTTGCTAGCTGTTGGTGTGTTTCTGTGTGTGTTAGTTGGTTATGTGCATCATAGTTATGCAAAGACCAGGTGTGTGCTCGTTGTGTTATGTATTCTCTTAGATGCTCTATTTTGGGTCAATAAAATCCATCCTTGATCGAAAAAAAAATCTGGTTGGGTGGCTGGAACTTTTCCTGATGCCGGTGAAATTCCAGTGACCCAAACGAGGATTCAGTTACCAGGAAGAAGATTCAAAAACAGGTAATAACTATTTATTTATCCTTTCTGAGTACATACAGACACTTGACTAACTTGACACGTACGGGACTGAATGATACTAGCATTACCATTCTCATACCAACAACGCGACAAGCAGCTCCGATTAACTGCAGCACACACCAGCAATTAAAATTTGCACACCAAACCGTGCCACTATCTTAGCACTGAAAGGAAAATACAATCCCGCCGGTTACATCGTATATGCATGCTCCAGGCCGGCCGTCGTCGGCGTTCAGGGTGACGCCCGCGCCTCCGGGCTCTGGCTGCGCCCGTCGGGGTCTCTGGCGTCGGTCCACGCGTTGTGCCGCTCTGACGGGCCGGACGGCGTGACACGAGTGCCGCGCGGCGAGAGGCCCGGCGTCCTTCAGACTAAAACTTGCTAGCCTCACCCATGCTTAGATCCAAATACTAAAGAGACTAAAATCAAGTTAATAAGCATTCATTATCCTCCAAACCCTTCAATCCAGAACTCGCATGTGTTAAAGGAGATGAGTTAAATGAGGAGAGAGATGACTAATTCATATTTTAGTAGGGGTACCCCTGACTAAAAAAATTTAGTCTCAGGACTAGTTTTAGCCTCTCTTTAGTCAAGGGTGCTTGGAACTTTAGTCTCATAGGCCCCTCCCAATGCTCCACCTTATACAGGTGCTAAACCTTCCACGTAGGCAAAAAATCCGATGTGACAAGTTATTTAAGAGGAGAGAGATGAGTGTGATGACCCCAGGAAGAACCAATGCTAAATGTGTGAACCTAGGCAAAACATTTAAAAGAAGGGAGCCCACCAATACATGAAGAGCTTTAGTTGCTAAATCATTAAATGAAGCAAGCTTAGCAACCATAAGCTAAGCACCTACTCCCTCCGTCCGCGAATAAGTGTACTTCCAACTTTGTTGGAAAGTCAAACTTTTTTAAGTTTGACCGTATTTATACAATAGTACACTAACATTTATGCCATCAAATTAGTAGCATTAGATTCACGATAAAATATATTTTCATTATATGCCTATTTAGTTTCACAAACATTGATATATATTTGTACAAACTTGGTCAACTTTGAGATAGTTTGACCCTCCAACAAAATTGGAAGTACACTCTTTCAAGGACGGAGGGAGTATGCATTGGAGAGTATAGTTGCTAAGCTATTTAACGTGCTTAGCACCTCATCTAAGCACCCATGCATTGGCAGCAGCCTTAAAAAGACTATTTTTAGTCAGACTAAAATAAGTCCCTTGGATCCAAGCACCCACTACATCCCTAATGCATAGTATCATATGTTGGTATCATAGAGGACTACATTTATTGTCATGCATGACACAAAGTAGCACATCATTTAATATGATATGGTATCATGATATGATACTCAAGTCTCTCTTTCTTCATTTAATTCTATGCCACCTCATCAAAATTGCTTAGTTGACATGCATGATACTACCTATGATACTCCCATTACGAGCAGCCTAATCATTTACTTTTGATTTAAAGTATTTATCAAGAATTTATGCAAAAATTACTCATATGAGATACTGGAGATTATTGGAAGGTTTTAATTTGGGCGCATCTGGATGGCCATTTTATTACTTACGAAGCTGGATGGAGAATTTGCCATCTTCGATGGGTCCGGCTAGCCATCGATTGAAATTTAACAGATTTCTAATCAGCTCCGGCCGTGTGTGGCGAATCTCTATGATGCCATTATTTGTAAACAGAAAACATGTTTACATGGAAAAATATTCCTGGATGCCGACCAAATCGGTTGGATAAAATCCTGAGCGAACATCTTCCGTTAATTGCACCCTAAGGACTATAGACCTCGCAGAAATTTGAAACTTTATGTTAAGGTACAAACGTTACGAGATCCTTACGCGATCCAATATAAGTAGCTTATACAACCACCTGTCGAACACAGGGGTTGTTTTAAACCACTTTTACTCTTTTGGGACTAGTAAAAGCAGCAAAATGGTTGTATACTCACTCCATTCTAATGAATAAGGCACACACGCATCCCAAAATCTAACTTTCATCATAAATTAAATCAATTTTATAGAATTTTTACGACTTAAAAACTATACTACAATTGAACACGGGCATATTGGGCTGGCCCATTAACTCAGCTAGCTCGCTCGCTGCTCAAGTCGCTCGTGTCGCTGTTTGTTGTACTTGTTTTTAGTCCTTTTTTCTCGTTTTCTTTATTTTTTCGTGTTGGGTTTCTTTTATTTCTTCACCGGGTTTTCTTCAGTTTTTGTTGTCTCCATTTCTTTCATGACCTTTATTGGGTTCTTTCTTTCCTTTTTATTTTCTCTTATTTTTATTTTTCTTTTCTTGGTTTTCTTCCCCTTTTCTTTGTTTGTTCTCCAGTTTCGCTGTTTCCATTTTTTATTTGTTTTAATTAATTTTTGGTTGTATTTTTCTGGTTTTTAATGGTTTTCTTACTTCCTTTGTTGTTTTTTATAGGTTTTTTTGGTCAACACATGTCAACATTTTTTTAGTACACATTCAACACTTTTTGCATACATCATGAACATATTTTTAATACACATTTAATATTTTAAAAATAGATGATTAAATTTTCGGAAAATATTTTTATGTCAATACTTTTTTCAAACACATTGTACATTTTCTGTTAATATCTAAAACATTTTTCAAGTACATGTTTAACATATTCGAGTACTGGTTTAACATTTATTAATATATATGTTGATGTCCGTTGTTTTCATACACATTGTACATTGTAGTATATATCGGAAACTATGTTTATACACATATTTAATATTTTCCAAATGATTGATTAACATTTTTTAATACATGATCAACATTTTTGCTATACACATTTTAAGTGTTTCTCAAATTCTTCATTAACATTTTTCAAATGCAAGATTGATATTTTTTTTAATACATGGTCAACATTTTTTACTATACACATTTTCAAATGTTTCATTAACATTTTTTTCAAATAAAAATTCGATTTCTTAATACATGGTATACATTTTTTCTGTACGCATTTGACATTTTCAAATGCTTGATTAACATTTTAAAAATACTGGTTTAACTTTTTTTGTCTGATTAACATTTTTTTAATGCATGATCAACTTTTTTTCTCTAATATTGTATATTTTTTGTATACATGGAAAACATTTTTTTTAAAATAACATTTTTTAAATGATTGGTTAGCATTTTCATAATGTTTTACATAAATGCGAACCAATGTGTGGTTGGATGGTTAGAGGGACTGTGGTATCCCCAGCCCATCAGGGTTCAAATTCTAGTGCTCGCATTTATTTCTGGATTTATTTTAGGATTTCCGGCGATGCGCATTCAGTGGGAGGAGATGTTCCCGTCGACGTCGAGGTGCTTACAATTACTTCGTAAATTTCAAGATGATATGTCGGCTCAGTCTTTCGAAGGTGCTCATAGGGGTAGGGTGTGTGTGTGTGCATTCATATGGGTGAGTGTATGCGCGTGTATATGAGCGCTTTGCGTCCGTACTGTGTTCAAAAAAATGTTTTACGTAAATTTCTTTTTGCAATATAATTATTTAGCATATTTGGAAGTATGAACAAAGTAAAAAAAATGAGAAAGAACAAATATAAAGAAAAACAGAAAAAGAAAACGGGGCCATGGCGTCCCACGCCCGGGCGTCTGGGCCAGCCCATTTAGGGAAGCCCTTGCCACGAGACATATCGCGGCCGGGCACTCCGCTGTAACGAGCGGCTCGAGT